ATTTTTATCTCATGACCTTAACCCTTAGCCAAATGATTCCACGTGATTTGCTTGAACATGATTCACTTGGTTACAAAGTTTAAATGAATGTTAAAGGGATTGATTGATTGGAGCATTTGATTAAGCTGAGCAAGAGATCATTTTGAAACTTGATAAACATGGCTAGATTCTTTAAAGTATAACTGATTGTGTTTTGCATCCTACACTTAGGCACTTAGACATTGACTTCATTTATTTACCTTAGCATTTTTGGATTTGAATGCCTACCTTCAAACCTCACTTCCTCCTTGTCTTAGTTTGTTTGCTTGAGGACAAGCAAAAGGCAAGTGCGGGGGTGTTAATATCTCCATTATTTATACCATCTTAGCTTGCATTCATCACTAGTTTTAGCCTTTAAACATGCATATGTTGCTTATTCTTATCCCTTTTACATACATTTAGGAGTTAGTGTAGTTTTAGGAGCTGCATTGCATTTTGCATGCATTTGGAGTTTTATTCAGGTACTAGAAGGAGTGTGGAGGCCATGTGGTGCAATATATGTGAGCTGGGAATGAAGCAAGAAGAAGGACAAAGGCAGATAGGCCAATATCATTGACAATATCGACATCATCTGATCGATACGGAGCATCTCGATGGGAGTATCGATCACTTCAACATTGATACAGTGAAGGCGTGGTGTAAACGCAGCATATCGACAGAGGGAGACCTCGATGCAACAGAAGGGAGCCCATACCGAGCAGCATATCGACGTCCCAGACTGATACACAGAGACAGGACAATACCAAGGTGCTGTATCGACTTGTTTGCCGGATGAGCCTTAACTAAAGGGAGATTGTATCGACTTCACATCAAAGAGAGTCAAACCGATACAACATTGAAGCCTTCTGTATCGACCAGCATATCGACCAAGGGACATCAATACAACCCAGAAGAAGAGATGATATCGACATGAGTATCGATGTGCATGATCGATATGGTCTGTCCGAGTCAGCCTATTTCGGTTTAATCCTGGTTTACTAGGGGTTTTCTAGTTCCCCTATAAATACTAAAGTCCTAAAATGGTTAGGCAACTTAGATCTTATTATTTTTCTTCTGTTCTTGCACTTAAAATATTTCCCTTTTCACCTTTGCTTTGTAAGAACTAGTTTGATTTAGTGAATTTCTGTATGTGCCTTTAATCTATTCTTGCTTTTTCTGCTTTCTAATCATGCTTAATCATTGTTTCTCTTTGGAATTTGTGGTTTTGATTATGGCTAGTGAGTAGTCTTATTTAGGGTTTGAGATGAGATAGATAATAGGGGTTTTATGACTAGATTAGTGATGTTTTATGCTTAATATGATTATCTTCTCTCTATTAGATATGCTTAACACTAGATTAGTCTTAGCCAGGCTTGTTTAGTATCATGTCTTTCTCTTTTTCCTATAAGTGTTTGATGAAATGGTGCTTTGAGTCTCTTGGAGGATTTGCTCTCTTAACCTAAGGAATTAGATGTCTAAGGTGCATTTGGCTTTATAGGATTGGAGTTCTGTTCTCAATGCTTGATGATCATGTGTTTAAGTAAAGGAATTTGTCTTGAATATGTGCTTAGCAAAGTGATTAGTGTCAAGGAATTGAGCTAGTTATAGTTGTTAATCCTATGTCTAGAAGATAGCATTGTTTGAATGGTTTTGAAGCATCACTAGTTAGGTTCTAATCCCCTCTTAATCAATTACCCCCATCTTAGATCCTTACTTTATCTATTTGAATTTCCTGCCTTGATTAGTTCAGTCTTTAGACCTGTTTAGTGTGATCACAACTGCTTTCCTGAAGTTGGCTTGACTTAAGTTATTTGTTGTATTCTTGGTGTCTTATGAACTCAGATGGATTGATACCTTACATGCTGCAATGACATGAGTGTGTTAGGATTTGTTTAGCTAGTCAAAATCCTGCTATTAATAAGGAATGCTTATAGGTACCTAAGGAGCCATTGGAGACATGGTGGAAGCTTGGGAGTGGTCTAGGAAGTTGTCCCAGCCAAGGAGAATCAATAGGAGCCAAGAGAGTGCATTTCTGAGTCGATGTCGAGATGCATGTCGTGCCTCCAGGTCGACATCTTCCAGCAAAAGAAGAAGGATTCCATGTCGAGCACTGATGTCGAGCTCCAAGGGCGACATCGGGAGACAGGAAACCTATGTCGAGATGCATGTCGCACAACATAAACGGCGCGAGACACCCGATCAGCGATATCGACCACATATGTCGAGCTGATGGCAGCCGAAACTCAATGTCGAGATGCATGTCGATTTCTTCAGCTCGACATCCTCCTCGCCAGAACTTCATTTATTTATGAGTGTACCACTCTTTTAGGGGTTTTGTCCCTTAGTATAAATAGTCAAGAATCAGAAAATATTAGGAGACACTTAAGCTTTGTTCTATCTTTTGGTTCTTATTCAATTTCCTTCTTTGTAAGACCAAAGTCTATCTTTTTAATCTAAGTTTCTGCATTTATATCCTAAAATAAAAAAATAAAAATAAAAAAATGCAGGAGGCACCACTTCGGTTTTAAGAGGAACTTTCTCCACTTCTTCGATTCCTGCTTCTATTTGTCCTTATGTGGTTGCTGGAGCTGTCATTCCCGTCGTTGCTGCATCGGTTCAGGAGGAAGTGGAAGAGCGGTTCCTGCTTCTGTTCCATCTTCTATGGGATGAACAATTTCGGCGGGTTTTTCTGATTCTCTTGCCAAGTTTTCATTTCGTTGACCTCCTCCTCGAGCTCATCCTCCTCTTGTTTCATATACCTTCTTAACAACTTTCAGTTTAACCATATCTGATTCGAAAATCAAATCCAGAGAAGAGAAGACAAAGCAGAGAGACGAAGAGGATTCAGGAAAATAGACGAAGAGAGAAGTATCGGAATCGAGATGGGTCTAATCCTTCACTGTCGGCAAGAGATTTGCTTCGAATATCAGTGAATTTGATTTCTCTATTTTTTTTTTTACAGTTACAGATCGAATGAAGAAAGAAAAAAATCTATTTACTAGAGTTATGCTCAGGTTGTGGTTGGGGGATAGATCAAGTGAGCAAAACCCGTGGTTAAATTTGTAATTATTAAAATATCTTAATGTTAGAATTGTATTTTATCTATTTTTCAATTAAAAATAAATTAATTATTAAAAAAGTGGCATGCGAGATTGCTTTTTTTCCATTTGTGTCATTTGTGTCATTTCAACCATTGAGTCATATTATAACTTTTTTCTTCAAGATTTATTCTTTGTTTTTCACTTTTTTTTTAAAAGTCATCATAAAAATATTTGTAGATGACTTTATTTTTGAAAAAATATTATAATATTTTTCCCTAAATAACTAAAATCATTTTTATTATTATATAAATTTTATAGTAAATAGATTCTATTAATTAATTATTAATATTATTTTTAATTTGTTTTTTTATAAAACTGATAAATATTTAAATTTATTTATTATATATGTAGAAAACATTGTCTTAAAGAAAGAATTATAATTTTCAAAACTAACAATTTATATAGTTTTTATATCAATCAGACTTTTGAAAACCTATAAATTAAGAATTACAATTTTTACCATCAAAATTTCTATAGCCAAAAGCTTAAGATCATAATTTACAGTTTACAGTTACAATTCTTACAAATTGAAGTCTTCTACCTTATAATTTTCAGCCGGTGTACGAATTGGGACCTTCAGCATATAATTTTTAGCCGGTGGCAAAACAGAATTATCCATGGGCGGACTGGATACTGTAATTCCAAATCAGCCATCTTAAACCAACAAAAAAAACAATATTGGGAATTTGAAAATAGCCAATATGTTAATTTTTGCAATTAACCAATGTTATGGGGTCATCATTTTTTTAACAATTTTTCCTACGAACAAATCACCGTACACGTGTATAATTCTAATTACATATTTCCCGTTCGAAGCCTTCTGTGTGACGGCATATAAAGAGTGTAACAGGTAGGGATGGGCAAAATATCTGTTATATCCGCTTTGAACCGGTATTTGTTTCGATCTGATTCGAAAAATCTGGATATCCGTAAAACTTCAGAGTAAAGCAAATAGCAAAATATAATATCCGTACAAAACGGAGCAAATCACAAATATGTTTTTAGATAACATCGGATATCCGATTCGATCCGTATCTTTATAAATTTATTATATATAAGTATATATTATCATATATATATCAATTATATTAGAATTTTTTATTAATATACTCTCGATTTTCTTTTTAAATTTTCAACTTTTTCTAAATTTTTTTGATTATATAAAATAAATGACTAAATAATCAATTATAAAAATAAATAATATGTTTAAACTTAAAATATGTTAATAAATAATATTTTATTTGATATTAGTTAATAAATATCAACAAAAATTTTTTAGTAAAGTTTAATATTAAAGTTTCAAATACTTAATATTATTTTTAAATATAAAATATCATTTTTTCTTCATTTTAATTTTGTAGGTTTATTTTTTATAGATTTTTTATAAAATAAAATATTTTCTTTTAGTTATTTTCACTTAATAGTTTAGATAAAAAATATTTTTTTTATAATAAAAATTGATGTATTTTCAGTTTTGCGTATATTAAACGGATCAAACTAAATATTCATAAATATCTGTAAATATCCGCAAATATCCGCAAATTTTCCGGATATCTAAAAATCCGGATATCCGTATATTTCCGAAGCAAACCACAAATACTTAAAAAATTTCGGATAATCCGCGCCTACCCCTACTTGCAGGAACATTGTAACAAATTATAAACCCTCAACAGCATTGGCTAAAAGTCTGAAAACGCGTCCACGAAGTACACGTGTCCGGCTGACTCCTTTTGTAAACACGTTTACTTGGCCACAAAGGATTAACGAAAACGCAATTCCTATATATTTATCTCGTTTCCATGGAAAATTCGTTGAAAACTTCTCCTATCTCCTCCATTTTTTTTTTTGTAAACTTTTTTTCTTTTGATTTTGGGATTTACCATGTCGGAGGAAATTGGTTGCTTTGACTTACTCCAAGACGGCGATCTCTTCTTCGACTTCGATCCTTCAGTTGTCACTGAATCTCCTCTTGTGGATGATTTAATTCGTTCTTCACCAGATTCTATACATTCGTGGATCGGAGAGGTTGAGAGCCAATTAATGAATGACGAGCAGCAGAATTTTCTGGAGCTGGATGAGCAATCAGTTTCAGAGTTTTTAACGGATCTATTCGTTGATTATCCCACAAGCGATTCTGGCCCGGTTGATTTGACGACGGCTAAAGTTTCAGATGTACCAACAGTCGAATATCCCGCCGCCGGAAAGGAACCTGAAGGCTCCAATGATTCCGGGAAGGAGAAAGCGGATTTCTCAGTTGAGAAGAAGTCTGACGCATCCAATGATTCTGGAAGTGAGAATCAGGATGAAGCAAAGGTGGAAAGCGAGAATGATGGAAACGATGATGCTATGGCCAAGAAAAGAAGAAGGTATATCTGATTTTGTCTCTTTCTAAAATAATTTAAAATTAGGGTTTGTTCCTATTTTTAAGCTTATATGGGAAGAGAACGTGGTTGATCTGTAATCTGTTTCGGTTTTGATTGCTTTAGACTGCTAAAACGACATTGAGAACAATATTTTGGGTTTAGCGGATATATGTGATATTGAAACGTTAATAATGAGTGATTTGATTGGTTCGTCTATGAATTTTAAGTTTGTATTTTGGATCCTTTTTAGATTGTTTATGGTGTGTAATGCTATATCTCATTGGTGATTTTGTGTAAACAACTTTTACTCTTGCAATTTGTTGCTCCTGTAACCTGTTGTCTTTGGAAACAACTTTGAGAAAAAATCTTGAAATAGTTTAAGCAGATGCGTATGTGTGACATTGAAGAGTTGATAGATGAGTGATGTAATGATTGGTTTCGTCATTATAGATATGAAGTCTGTATTTTGGATTCCTCTAGATTGTTCAAAGCTGGTTATGCTATATTCTCATTGGCCATACTTCATAACAATGTTATTTGTTATTGGTATCTTCTTAAAGAGTTGATAATGAATGATGTGATTGATGATTGTTCAGGAGAGTAAGAAACAGAGATGCTGCGGTAAGATCAAGGGAGAGGAAGAAGGAATACGTGACAGATCTAGAGAAGAAGAGTAAGTATCTCGAAAGAGAATGCATGAGACTGGGACGGATGCTCGAGTGTTTCGTTGCGGAAAACCAGTCTCTTCGTCTCTGTTTACAAAAGGGTAGTGGCAACGTTCCCATGATGACAAGGCAGGAGTCTGCTGTGCTCTTGTTGGAATCCCTGCTGTTGGGTTCCCTGCTTTGGTATCTGGGAGACATCATTTGCCAATTCCCTCATATGCCCCAAACAAAGAGTCGCTTCCAGTTAATGGAAGCCGAAGAACCAGAAAAGCTGGTTCAAAGCGGGCTAGAGAGTAGTAGACTATCTAATAATAATACTGCTGAGAGCCGTAGATGTAAGGGTTCAAGGCCGCGTATGAAACACCAAGTCTTTACACTTTGGCGTGACGCCTTTCACCTTTTACTCTCATCGTTATAACTTCTGCTTTTTGCGCATTTTGAGTCGAAGATGAATGTGTCTAGTAGTCTTTTCTCGTCTGTCTGTCTGTCTAATCTTGATAATTAAACAGTCAATGTGGGTTTCTCATGGTTTTCAAGGATATCTACTTTATAATATTTCTGTCTTTGAGATCCCAAGTTTGCTTAATATGCAATGGAGCTAAATATGATCAGGAAGGTATATATTCGGGCCAAGCTTTCAATGTTCTAGATACTCGGTTGCCTCACGAAACTCTTTATTACCTCACGAAACTCTTTATTACCTCGTTAATACCACCGCTTAAAATTTCTCCTTTGAACCTGGTAGCAATTTCTCCTGAGTGAGGTGCTTCTGTAGTGTTTCCGTTCTGCGCAAACGGAATATGACTGGTCGAGGAACTAAACATGAACACCATAGTGGCCTTCTCGCATGGACAAAATGTCATTAGAGTTGGATGGATGGAAGACAACATGTATTGTACATCTTGTTAACGATTCCCTCGCGTGAATAATCGAGCTCTCCAGTCATTTTGGCAGGTTCTCCGCTTGGAAGAGAAGGCTCCACCACAACTTAGTTTCAAACGAACAAAAAGCGTGATTATATATGATAAAATCTATAGGGAATTGATGCAGCTACATTAACGGTGTCAACCAGTTGTGACATGCTCTACAATCTAGCATAATTATTATTTTCCTTTTCTTTATTTTGGTTTTCTAGATAATTATAGATCAGGACGCCTATTTGAGAAAAAATGATTAATTTTTGCTTAGTACCCTTTCTATCGATTAGAGGTTTTGCTTCAACCAATCAGAGTGGAGCAAACTTACAGAAAGAATATGTTCTTGCCGAAAAGCAATTTCTTTTGAAATATTTCCATTTTTTCTCTTCAAATCGTACATTTTTTTCCCAAAAATTGCTACTTTCCTTTAAATCTTTCGAGCAGCAGGATGTTTATCTAGAGTTCTTCCTAACTTTCAACCCATTCTTACAGCCGTAACCAATGCCTTCTCTTGCTTACGCTAAAAAAATAACCTTATTTCTGCTACTCATGGATAGGATGTTAAGTCAAGTGATGGGATCTATGTCACTGGAAGAAGATGTTCCAATCATCTTGCCGGAAGACGCAAGTTACAGTGCGGTTGAGAGAAACAGAAGAAGCCTAATCGGTAGGCTCCTTAACCCAGAAGTTCAAGACATGTCAAGGATAATACATACGATGCCCCACATATGGAAGATTTATGAAAGAGTACGAGGCCTGGCACTCACGACAGAAACATTCCAGTTCATTTTCGAATTGGAAACAGACCTGGAGACAGTCATGAAACATGGGATTTGGACTTTCGATGACTGGGGGATGGTAATAGATCGATGGATGGAGCAGCCTCCTCCCAATTTTCTCCAATCTGCACCGGTCTGGTTACGCCTACACAAACTACCGGTGAATTATTTCACTTTGGATACGATCAAGGCGGTGGCAGGCGCTGTGGGTCACATCAAGAAAGTAGAATACGAACCGGAGAAATCACAAGTGCAACAATACGTCCGGGTATTGGTACTTCTGGACTTGGCGCAACCAGTGCGAGAAACAAAGACAATCACCCTCCCTAGAGGCGCCGGAACAGCGATCGTGGAGGTGGTTTATGAGCGTATAAAAAAGAAATGTTTCCACTGCCTGCGTCTCACGCATGAGAAACAGAGATGTCCTCTGTTCAGAGGCCAGAAAAACAGAGAGATAGGTTCCTCCAGCAGACAAAAAGAAGCAGTCATTCAGCCGTCTCTGCCCCGTATGCACTACCTCAATCTGGTGGAACAGTTAATGCCATTACTTGCCCCATCGGTACCACCAGGGTTTGCACCACGCTCCAATGTGGTGGCCCCGGAAGTGTTTGATAAGATGAAGTTATATATGAACTGTTCGGACTCTGCAGAAAAAGTGATTCGTGAACACCGAATGAGAACAACACTGGAGGAATTATCGAGAGATCCTGTGGCTCAGAGGTCATACCTGCAACTGGAATCCCCTCCGACACGTACTCATGTCTCAAACGCAACCCCTATTATGGGGACAGAGACACAACGTGACGAGATGGAAACATTAGGAAAGGCTTCAGCAAAGCAGGATCAATAGGAGGATCCAAACTCTGCGCCCCGAAGAACGGAGCTACTCAAAGAGAATGCAGAATTACATGAGAGGAATATCGAACGTGAAAGGGAGGCCAAGAACAACCAAGTTATAAACCCCTCTGTACCACCAAGTGCTGCCTTGACCACGACAGCAAATTACACCACAACAAGCCTGCAACAGAGCTCTGATCCACGCAATCAGCTAAAGCTTAACTTCTCTCAGAATCAACACATGCAGGACGAATCTGGATATCACGTACCTCTACCAAACATAGGCGGATTTCATGTTGGTGTAGTAGAGACAAGTACATCAGGCACAAGCGGCAAATCTAAATCATCCAAAGCTAAAACTGCCTCATGGTCAAGACAAAAGCGATCCAATCACGGACTACAAAGGCCAGAACTAGAAGGAATGGGGATGCATAACACTACGGAGACTGAAAGCTCCGTGAAACGGAAGGCACTGGAATCGGCAGAGGTGTCGTCAAAGGTTTCGAAACAAGTTGTGGGTTCGATGGTTCACCAGAAACCATCCAGTTCGAACATATGACGACACTCACTTGGAACTGTCAGGGGTTGAGGAACAACCTGACAGTTCGACACCTAGAGAGAATGTGTCGTGAACATTCTCCGGATTTCTTGTTTCTCCTAGAGACTAAAAACTCTAGTCATCACGTGTTACAGTTACAGAGATCGTTGGGTTACAATCACAATTATCTGATAAACCCAATGGGTCTAAGTGGAGGTCTGGCCTTGTTCTGGAAAGATTCGTTTATGGTGGATGTTCTATATGGAGATAAGAACATCATTGATACAAAAGTAACAATAGGGAACACGTCGTACTTCATGACCTTTGTCTACGGAGAACCAGTGCGTCAAAATAGGCAAAGAGTATGGGACAGACTTACTAACATTGGTGCGTCCAGAGATGCAGCATGGTTCCTGACCGGAGATTTCAACGAGATGGTGAACAACTCAGAAAAATTAGGAGGTCCAAGTCGAACAGAATCATCATTTTTCCCTTTTCGTTCGCTCATCAGAGACTGTAGAATCAAAGAAATGCCCAGCTCTGGAAACAAATTCTCATGGGGAGGCTGGAGAGAGATTATAAACGGCAATGGAATGCAGGAAAAAGTTTGGATTCAATGCAGACTTGACAGGGCTTTTGGTAATGCAGAATAGTTTCGATTATTTCCAAGATCTCATTGTCAGTACCTGCAACGAGTAGGATCAGATCATAGACCGCTGGTGTCATGGATGGTTAAAGAACAGGGGAAGAGAAAGGGACGTTCCCATTTTGACAAGAGATGGTGTGAAAAGCCAGAGGTTGCTGAGATTGTACGCAAAGGATGGAACACACTGAATCCACGGAGAGAACAGAAAATGGTGGACAGAATTGTGAACTGCAGAAGAGAATTAGCGAAATGGAAACACAATCCAAGCTTTAGTTCTAACTCACGGCTCAAGTTACAAACGCTGCAACAAGACTTGGATTCAGAGACTGCCAAAACGAACCCAGATCTACGACGGATGACAGATATCAAAATAGAGCTGATTAAAGCGCTGCAACAAGAAGAAATTTTTTGGAAGCAGAAAAGCAGAGAGCGATGGTTGAAAGTTGGAGATAAGAACACCAGATTTTTTCATGCAAGCGTTAAATTGAGGAGTATGCATAACAAGATCACCTCTTTGCTTGATATTAACGGCCAGGAACATTTCTCTGAGGATGCCAAAGGTAATATCGCAGTTTCGTATTTCACTAAGCTGTTCAAATCTTCAAATCCAGAAAATCTCATGGAACTACTGGAAGGTTTTGAGGCTAGAGTAACACAGCGAATGAACCAAGAGCTTATCCAACCTATATCAGATACAGAGATCACAAAAGCAGTCAAGGGAATCAAAGGAGATAGCGCACCAGGTTCAGACGGGATGACAGGCAGATTCTTCCAAAGTTTTTGGGACATTACAGGCCCACAGATCAAGATTGAAGTGAAGAGATTTTTTGAAACCGGCATCCTTCCTGATGACTGGAACCGCACAGAAATATGCTTGCTGCCAAAGAAGCCAAATCCGATTGTAATGATAGACTTAAGGCCAATCAGCTTATGTTCAGTCATATACAAGATCATCTCAAGAATCTTATGCTCAAGACTGAAGCGAGTCCTACCTCAGATCATCTCTCAGACGCAAGGGGCCTTTGTGGAAGGCAGATTGATATCTGACAACATACTGATCGCACATGAGATGATCCATGGATTAAGTTCGAATGCAAACTGTAGGAGAGAATACATTGCGATCAAAACTGATATGTCGAAGGCATATGACAGAGTTGAATGGAACTTTCTAGAGGAACTCTTCCAACGTATGGGCTTTAAACAGAAATGGATCACTTGGGTAATGGCATGCATTCGTTCAGTATCATACACAATGCTTTTGAATGGTCAACCGCATGGACATATCAAACCTGAACGAGGCATTCGGCAAGGAGACCCATTATCCCTTTTCCTCTTCATCATGTGTGCTGAAGCCCTCGTACATGTCATGAACAAAGCCGAGAAAGATAAGAGGATTACAGGAATGAAGCTAAATAAGAAATGTCCTGTAATACAACATCTCCTTTTTGCTGATGATAGCTTGTTTCTATGCAAAGCCTCATTACCAGAATGCTCCTCAATTCTAAAATGTCTCAAGATGTATGGTTATGCATCAGGCCAAGAGATAAAGTTTCAAAAATCGGCAGTAACTTATGGAGCGGACATTGATCCGGTGATGAAAACGCTAATTGCAGAACTGTTGAGTATAGAATAAGTGGGCGGTGAAGGAAAGTACCTAGGCCTACCGGAATGTTTCAGCGGATCCAAACAGAATCTTCTATCCTTCATCAGTGAGAAGCTGCAGAAACGACTGCGAGGTTGGTATGCTAAAACTCTGTCACTTGGAGGGAAAGAAGTTCTTCTTAAATCCGTTGCTATGGCCCTTCCGGTTTATGCCATGTCCTGTTTTCGCCTCACTAAACATCAATGTAAGAAGATTACAAGCGCTATGAGAGAATTCTGGTGGAACATGTGTAAGGATAAGAGGAAAATACTCTGGGTTGCATGGAAAGATCTTTGCAAGTCTAAAGCAAATGGTGGGCTAGGATTCAGGGATATCGGAGATTTTAATCAAGCCTTGCTAGCAAAGCAAGCATGGCTCGTACTCAATGAACCAGACTCCCTCCTCTCTCGGCTATATAAAGGGCGGTACTTTCACTCAAAAAGCTTCATGGAAGGTGGTATTGGTGTGAGACCATCATATGCCTGGCGCAGCATCCTGCATGGCAGAGATCTGCTACAATGTGGTATGATAAAGTCCATTGGGAATGGCAGAGATACGAAGATCTGGTTGGACAAATGGGTCATGGATACAAACCCAAGACGGCCAATGAATAAACAGCGGCTCATGGATTTAGAGCTAAAGGTTAACACACTTATTGAAGAAGATGGGAAGTGGAATGAGTATAAGATCAACGAGTTGTTTCCTCCAGCAGATGTCAAGCGAATCAAGGATCTACCAACTGGCAGTGTAAATGATCGTCTCATTTGGGCCGACACATAACATGGAGCATACACGGTGAAAAGTGGGTACTGGTTTGTGGCCACTCATCCTTTCGTCCCAGAACCACCAAAAACAGCAAGAGAACATCTACACATTGAATTGAAAAATTGGATCTGGACAAGCCCCAGATCCCCCAAGATCCGTATGTTCTTCTGGAGAGCTATATCTGGTGCTTTGACAGTCTCAGATAGACTAAGAACAAGAGGCATAAACATAGACACTACATGTCATCTGTGTCAGCAAGGTACCGAGTCGATATGTCATATCTTGTTCAATTGTCCCACAGCTTTACACTTGTTGTCTGAAGTGGATTTTAAGCTACCTACCAATGGTTTCTCCATGTCTCTGGAAGAAAACATGTCCTATGTTTTGGATCTTATGGAAGACCACTCCATCCCTTTAACCACAAGGCGGGCCATACCCTGGTTTTACTGGAATATCTGGAAGAATCGAAATGCCATCTTGTATTCCGGAACCCAGGAGCCAAGTTCTATCATTATGAACAGAGCTGTAGAAGAAGCTGAGATCTGGGCAGAAGTTAACAAATCAGAGCCACAACAACCTATAGTCAGAACCGCTGGCATTTGTCTAGATAACCGATGGCACCCTCCATATCATGAGATGCTAAAATGCAACCTACACGCCAACTGGAGAAACTCAGAACTGCATAGTGGAGGAGCTTGGATTGCAAGGGACCATCGAGGGAACGTCCGTTTTCACGCCCGAGAAGCTTTCACCAACTCTCCTAATCGTATGATTGCAGAACTCAGATGCATCACGTGGGCTATGCAAAGTCTCGCTGATCTTCGCATTAAGGAAGTAGTTATTGCTTCAGATCACCCTGCTGTCATAGAAGCAATTCTGAAACCAACGCTCTGGCCGCGCCTCCGATCCTTCACGGGATACATAAACAGGCTGCGTGGAACTTTCAACATATGCGACATGGAGCTAGAGCATCCAAAAGGCAACTCCATCGCCAGAGACATCTCCAAGAGTGTTACTAGGGAAGGACGATTTCAATCATATCTGGCAATGGGGGAACCCTCTTGGTTACATGATCGGCTGCAACGAGAATCTCGCACAGACATCTAAACATCGTTATTTTGGTCTTGATGTCGCATTTAGTTTTCGATACCAGAGTTAGAAGCTCTGTTTTCCTTTGTCTCTGTTACAATCCCTGTTCTATTTTTCTTTAATAAACTATTGGCGTTAAAAAAAAAAGATAATTATAGATCTTAGTAGGATTTGGTTTTAAAGGTTTTTCGTCATCTCGTAAGTCTTATATTAAGACTTCGACATTGTAACAAGGGGAGGCAGTTGATTATTGATTTGAGTTTTATAATAAAGAGCTTTCTTAACCGCTGAGAAGAGCATTCTCAACCCCTCTGTTTTCAGACCTGTAAAACAGAGTTCAATCCCTTCTTTACTTAGCTTCCGCCCCCCATCAGTTGGTATCAGACTAGGACGTTCTTGTTGCACTAATCTTTGTCGCGATGCCTCCGAAGAATCACGCTAACAAAACAGGAGGAGAAAATCACGGCAATGCACCCGATTGGACAGAACTCCGAACAACACTTCTGGCGATGCAGGAAAACCTTCAATCGACAATTCATGCTTCAATTCAGGAGATGAGTGAAGCCTTGTTGACTCGATTGGATGTGCGTCACTCGATGCGTGTTGTCCAGGACAACCTAAACCCCTTCGCCAATCGCCGAGCCGAGAGCCATGATGGTGAGGAAGAAGATGACCACCATCACCGCATCCGCCATGATGATAACAAGTGGGAATCCTCCTTCCGAGTTGACATTCCTGAATTTCAGGGTGGCGTTAATGGGGATTCCCTCATTGATTGGATTAATTCAGTCGACGAAGTTTTGGAGTTTAAGAAGGTATCTGACGAGCGACGTGTTCCTCTTGTTGCGACCAAGTTTCGCGGTCATGCTGCATCATGGTGGCAACAACACAAAGCTTCTCGCAGTCGTTCGGGAAAGTCTCCAATACGCTCATGGGAGAAATTGCAGAGACACCTCCGTAAAACATTCTTGCCTCATAATTACGAACGCATAATTTACACTCGTTTTCAGAACTTGAAGCAAGGATCCCGCTCAGTCGACGAGTATGCTGAAAAATTCTATGTGCTCCTGACTCGTAACGACATTCATGACAGCGAATTTCAAGTCGTGTCTCGTTTCATTGGTGGACTACCGCAGCTTCAGAACGCACTTGCACAGTTTGATCCCGTCATCGTCGCAGAAGCTCACTGTCGTGCTGCTTCGTTTGAACAGCAACTTCGTTCCTCCAGCTGGATACCATCGTCAAACAGAGCTCGCACCAGTGACCAAACTCCAGGATCGAGTAACACTCAAACACGTGAAACAGGAGAGTCGCCGAATGTCGACGAGGCACTTCGCCGATCAACACGACCCAATGCCTTGTGTTGTTATGCATGCGGCGAGCCAGGACATCGCCAAACGGCTTGCCCAAAACAGACTCGACGTGGCCTTGTCCTCGAAGATCAAACACACGACTATGCGCCTGTGTATGACTCACACGATGACGAGGAGGAAAGTAACTTAGCACCTATCACGCCTACACCCGGTGATGCAGGCAGTTTACTGGTACTGCGGCGTACTTGCTTGGTTCCTCCTAGCCGCGGGGACTTGTGGCTCCGTACTAACATCTTCTGTTCCACTTGCACCATCCGTGATAAGATCTGTACATTTATTATAGATTCGGGTAGTTCCCGTAACGTCATCTCCGATGATGCGGTTCAAAAATTGGGGTTACAGCTTGAAGCCCATCCTGCACCTTATTCACTGTCGTGGGTACAACAGGGCGTCTCTGTTTTGGTCACTCATCGTGTGTTAGTTCCCCTATCGATTGGCCCACATTACATAGACAGGTTCTACTGCGATGTTGCGCCCATAGACGTCAGTCATCTTATCCTTGGACGACCTTGGGAGTTTGACAGAAAAATCATCCATGATGGCACCAAAAATACATATAGTTTCACGTGGGAAACACATCAGATCATACTGCTACCCAGCCGTGACACCACCCATGTTCCAGCGTTAGAGAGAGTGGTGTTTCCCACACCATCGCCTTCTACAGCTCTCCACTCCCCCATCCTCTGCTCGTTTCACCAATTTGACGCAGAGTTCATCCGAGAGGGCGTTATGTCTGCCATCATTGCAACGCAAGTAACAGACCTACCAACAACCAACACTTCCTGTTTTGAGCCTCTTTTACAGGAATTTGCAGACGTCTTCCCCACTGACTTGTCGGAGGGGTTGCCCCCACTTTGTGATATTCAGCATCAGATTGACTTGGTTCCGGGAGCGACTCTTCCCAATCGCCCGCACTACCGCATGAGCCCTACCGAGCATGAAGAGCTACGTCGTCAAGTAGAAGAACTATTGCGGAAGGGACACGTTCGTGAGAGCCTTAGTCCTTGTGCAGTTCCCGCTTTACTCATCCCCAAGAAAGATGGAACTTGGCGCATGTGCGTCGATAGCCGTGCGATTAACAAGATTACGGTGCGCTACTGATTCCCCATTCCCCGCCTTGATGATCTTTTAGACCAGATTGGCTCCGCTGTGATCTTTTCCAAAATTAACTTGAAGAGCGGGTATCACCAGATCCGTATCCGCCCAGGGGACGAAGGGAAGACAGCCTTTAAGACGAGAGAAGGACTTTTCGAATGGCTTGTGATGTCTTTCGGTCTCTCCAATGCGCCGAGTACCTTCATGCGCGTTATGAATCAAGCTCTACGTCCGTTTATTGGCAAGTTCGTCGTTGTCTATTTCGATGACATATTTACTTTCAGCTCTTCCATTCACCAACATGAGAGTCATCTCCGCGATCTATTAACGGTGTTACGTACGGAGAAGTTCTTTGGCGCTAAACACAAGTGCGAATTTGGCGTGTCTCAGGTGCTATTTCTTGGATATATTGTCTCCAACAAGGGGCTTTCGGTGGACCAATCTAAGATCGAAGCTGTTCGTTCGTGGCCTACTCCGCGCACTATTACTGATTTCCGCAGCTTTCACGGCTTAGCGTCTTTCTATAGGCGTTTTGTCCCTCACTTCAGTTTCATCATGGCTCCGCTTACAAGCTGTATGCGAGAAGGCAAGTTCATGTGGACGTGTGAGGCTGAGGCGGCATTCAATGCAATTAAGAAGAAGTTAACGTCCGCACCTGTATTGGTTCTTCCAGACTTTTCTCTTTCCTGTGAGTTACACTGCGATGCTTCGAAATTAGGGATTGGAGCAGTCTTAAGCCAGCTTGGTCGACCATTGGCGTATTTTAGTGAGAAATTAGCAGGTGCGAGGGGACGTTACAGTACCTACGACGTCGAGTTTTATGCAATTTTCCAGGCTATAAAACATTGGCGTCATTACTTGGTGCATAAGGAGTTTGTACTCTTTACAGATCATGATGCCTTACGTCACTTAGACAGTCAAGCCAAGGTGTCTTCCAGACATGCCTCTTGGATCGCGTTTCTCCAACAGTTCACATTTTCCATTCACCACCAATCAGGAAAGACCAACAAAGTAGCTGATGCTTTGAGTCGCAGACACAGTTTACTAACGACAATGCATATGTCTGTTACCGAGTTTGATTCCTTTCGGGATTTATATATTACTGATCTTTACTTTGCGAAAGTCTGTGATGAGATTGACCAGGGCACCCTCTCGTTACACGCGTCAGGAGGGCTTTGTTTTCTTGGGGTTATGTTTGTGTTTACCAGATTGTAGCCTGCGCCTCCAGGTCGTACGTGAGTTGCACAATGAGGGGCACATTGGCCGTGACAGGACTTTGTTTCTTGTTCAGACTTTGTACTTCTGGCCGTCTTTGCGACGTGATGTGGAGCGCTTTGTTTCAAGGTGTCGTGTTTGCCAGTTGGCCAAGGGATCAGCATCGAATGCAGGCTTATACCTTCCGCTACCAATCCCTGATCAACCGTGGACTCATGTCAGTATGGACTTTGTCTTAGGGTTGCCTCGAACCCAACAGGGGAATGACTCGATCTTCGTTGTTGTGGATAGGTTTTCAAAAATGGCACATTTTGTTGCGTGTAAGAAAACAGCGGACGCGTTGAATGTGGCGACATTGTTCTTCCGTGAGGTTTACCGGCTGCATGGTTTGCCTTGTTCGATCGTGTCTGATCGTGACACCTGTTTTCTGAGCCACTTTTGGTGTTCCTTGTGGCGGCTTCTGCGGACTTCTTTGGATATGAGTACGGCGTACCATCCTCAGACAGATGGTCAGACGGAGGTCACAAATCGCACGTTGGGGAATATGTTGCGTTGCTTGGTTGGCGACAACATTAAGAGTTGGGACGTCAAGCTTTGCCAAGCTGAGTTTGCCCATAATCATGCCCTTAATCGAAGTTTAGGGGTCAGCCCATTTCGTGTTGTTTATGGTCTGGTTCCCCGTTGCCTAGTGGGCCTCGCACCACTTCCGGACAAGACTAGCTTGCATGGGCAGGCTATGGAGTTTGTGGAGGAGCTTCACGGCGTTCACCAACAAGCAAAGTTGCACTTGGAGGAGTCTGTTGCTAAATACAAATCTGCTGCAGATGAGAAACGCCGAGAACTTGTTTTCCAGCCGGGTGATCTTGTTTGGGCGGTTCTTACCAAAGACAGAATGCCTGCAGGTGAATACAATAAGCTGAAGTCTCGAAAAATTGGTCCCGTGGAGGTGCTTGAGCGCATAAATGACAATGCGTATCGTTTGCGATTACCTCCGCACATTCGTACTGCAGATGTTTTTAACATCAAGTTTCTATCGCCGTTTCGTGGTGACAATCCCGAGTCGGATTCGTGGGCGAATCCTTCCCCACCCGGAGGGACCTGATGCAGCTACATTAACGGTGTCAACCAGTTGTGACGTGCTCTACAATCTAGCATAATTATTATTTTCCTTTTCTTTATTTTGGCTTTCTAGATAATTATAGATCTTAGTAGGATTTGGTTTTAAAGATTTTTCGTCATCTCGTAAGTCTTATATTAAGACTTCGACATTGTAACAAGGGGAGGCAGTTGATTATTGATTTGAGTTTTATAATAAAGAGTTTTCTTAAGCCTGAG